ATTAATATTACAAATAATGTTGATTTATATCAACATTATTTATATATTCCTTTTCTTCTTTAACTTTATATTTTTCATTAACTCTTTTTCTTATTAGACAATTCCCAACAAAAATTCCATTCTGTATAAATCCAGTTTTTAATTTCAGCAGTGGTCTTTTTTCTTGAATCTTGGATATCGAAATTATCGGTCTCATTTCCAAGTGCCGCCATTTTAGCAAAGGTGACCACCCTTTCATTTTCGAGAATTCTACCGTGTGCTTTCCCCCAATAGATGTTAGTGATTTTTCTTTAAATCTCAATTTGCTGTTAATAGCATAAATTAATAAAATGTTGAAATATAATTATTGTGTAACCTAAAGAGACCCGTTAGTTTCGAATTCACCTGCAATTGATACCTGTCAATGAATGTGGCCCTGGAAACTTTACATTTTTATCTTGGAGACACTTAAACTGATATAAGAATGTAACACAATGTATAACTATATGTTTCTGTTTCTTAGGAATTCTTTTTTTTTTTTTTTTTTTTTTTTTTTTTGTAAACTAAAATCGTTTGATAAAATTATTAGCTTGTTAACGTATTATTGCAAATTTTGTGTATATATAAATAATGTAATGTTATTTTTGTATAATGTAATATGAAATGCTTGAAAGAGACGATGCTCTGCCAAAAAAATAAGAATACAGGGCAAGAATATTTAACATTGAAAAAATGGCTATCTCGCTAAATTGGCGACATTGTTACCATGGTGGCGAAGGTTTTGACGACTAATTGTTTTCACTAAATATGGTGAAAAATCGCCAAACGTCACCAAACTTGGCTACCATTAGAGGGTTTCGACTCTCCTCATTAAAAACAAACTTATTGAATAGTTCAATGGTAGTTTATAGTATTGAATATTATTTAGTATTATTTAACTAGACGAAGTATTATTTAACCCTGAGATTAAATTCATAGAACCGGAGCTTGGAAATTTGCATGAAAAGCTGGAGTTTCTGGGTCCAAGAGGGGTTGCTATCGTGACACCATCTAAAACTAACAAATTCTGATTTTATATTCGTATGTGATAATTGTGAAAACGAATGTTTTCTTCATATTCAGATGCAGAAACAATATAAAAACGCAGCTCCCTTTAAAACAGTTGCAAAGCCGTGAAGTTCTTTCCGCTTTGAGGTATGGGAAAGAAATGGACCAAACAAACGTATTTTCTCACATTTTTTTCCAGAAGCTTTAGATCTTGTGCAAAGTGAATTCATCCTAGCGTGTCATTTTTATGTTTGGTACGGCTATCTGAAAATAGAATCTGTTACTAAAAGATATTAAATAGCATCACGCACCTATGATCAAACCTATCCCATATTAAGCATTCTAGCTACAGCTTGTGATGAATAGGCTTAAAGCATATGTTGGTTATTGAAATAGCAAGTGTGCACCAATATAATAAATAATAACTACGAAAAATTTTACAAACAGTGCTAATTTGCATAGTAAGTGAAAAAGGCTTGTGATTCAATGATTAGAGATTGCTCAAAATCTTTTTAAACTGATACATTTTTAATTTTTTTAAATTTTTTTTAAAGAGAGTATTTAAAAAAAGCAACATTAAGGTATATTATACACCGCAATTCGTAAGATTCATTTAATTAACCATTTAATATACTTTTATTCTGTTCTATACATTTTCTGTTTTTCCATCGACCTTCATCAGAATATAATATGTTGGATTTCAGATGCAAATACTAGTACAGTATTTATTTAGCGGAGTAGATGACAACGTCTAGTTAACTTTATCTTTCTAACTAACATCTTGGGCTTGTTGTTGCCAATTGCTGTTTTACACAAGAAGTTTGCTATTTCCTATGGTTAGCTGAAGGAACGTAAGCGAATGCTGAAACTGATATACACACAGTGTGACTTAAAATTCTTAGGGCTAAATTGGTACAAAATCGAAATTTCGAGGGGGCAAAGCATTCTTATTGCTTAGTCTCCTATGTGCAGTCCTTCTAAGTCTATACGACGCGTGGTAAAGTAATTCAGATGGGCCTGATTCTTTCGCAGACCTCATCTTCTGGAATATTGTTTAAATCTTTGACTGCGATTTTCTGAATCTCTTCAATGCTAGTAAAATACTGACATTTGAGGTGACATTTCACTTTAGTTAAGAGAACTCGCTGGAGATAGGTAAGTACCCATTCTGATGGATAAGTAACATCGTTGAGAATTGTAGCATTTTTCTTTGCTAGAAAATGCTGACCTTTTCTACTGAGACGGCTGGAAAGGAATTGCGCATTATTTTCAGTCGAAACCATTTATGTGATTGAGCTTTTTCAGGCCAAACGTGCTGGATTCTCTTCAGAAGTCTGTCCACATCATCTTTATATAATACTGAATTCGCCATATGTCTCTGAGAAAGAAAACATGATCATCATAATGCTAATTTATCAAATTCAGTTAAAAATAGATAAAAATCTAACTTAAATTTATGCTTCCTGTTGCAAGTCTTTAAATTCATCTTAATAATCATCATCTTCATCTAATTCATCTTGATAATCAAATTCATGATCATCATCAACTTCATCTTGATAATCAAAATATAAATTGTGAACGAAACCAGCATCCATTTCGATATTTGTTAAAAAATGGTATAAATAAATATGTAAAAGATAAATAAATTTACTTATATATTTTATATATAAATTTATAGTGTGTATTCACTTATCGTTAGATTGTAAATTTTGACTCACTCTTCCTATCTTGTCATTAGACACTCTTCCTATCTTGTCATTAGACACTCTTCCTATCTTGTCATTAATAATGATATTAAAATTATTGGATGCTCCCTGTATTAAAAGATATTTACTCATATCAGGTTAGTGATGTGAAAATAAAATATTTCCGAAAATTATTGCACTTTTCTTCATTCGTTTACTTCAAGTAACATTATTTAAAATGAAATGATATTACAAATCTTTCCAAATGCATTCTAACTACGGTCTTGAGATAATGGCCCTTAATTTTTTCCAATATTCTGAGCAAAATAGCTATATTTACACATGCATATATTTGTAGATGATTTCAGGCAAAGCACATAAACAAAAACAAATTCCTTCAAAGATGGCTTCCGAAGATTAATAATCATCTTGTACTTACGTTGTCCAATATCACTGGAACATTATGCAGATATATTCAGCCTGTGGAAGCCAAACATGATTATATGCATCTGAGTTTCATGGTCTTACCCATTCAGCCTTTGATGAGATTTTAATTAAACTACAACTCCAAACTCTCCACCCCTCAATAATTACGATACGAGTCTTAAACGTAGGACTAGAGAATATAGAGTAGTCGAGTGAAAAAGAAGAAACATTTGTACTTTTTAATCTAAAAAATTGAATTAAAGTGAATTGTTATCAAGATTTTCGTAAAACGTGATATTGGAAACATGCTCAAAATAGGGAACCTTCTCATGATGAGTACGTTCTTTGGTGAATAGATGGTCACTTCTGAAAGTAATCAATAGTTCTTAGCATATAAATAAATAAATTTTGGATCACCTTTCTTAAATGACAACTTGCATAAAGAACTGAAAATCGGTAGTAAGTGGATGATTGTTTTAAGATTGGTTTACTATTTTATATTTCAAGATATCTTCCTTTTCTAGGAGATTTTTTTAAAGTATTATAAAAATTAGCGCTAATTCATTATCTGGATTTAACATTACTTTTTTCCCTTTTCATTTTGGGAAGAATTATCTATAATGTAAACTTTCACTGGAATAATAAGTATTGCATTGTTCTTTTTCATTCAATAATTTTTGAATGATTTTTATTAATAATAAATATGTCTCAAAACATTCAAGTTTGACTATCATTATTCCGACATCCTTCCTATCGTTTCATGAGCAACTCGGCAACTTTAGAACTGCTGTTGGAAAAAATACTGTTTTGTCACAATGAAAGGAAACAATAATGCGATTTTTATTGAATCTCTTTGACCATGAACATAGTTTTTATCACGCCGTGATGGATATTTGAAAGGAAACATTTTATTATCGCTAGAAACTAATAGTCAGTAAATTCTTATTGTTAAATGGCATCTCCATCAAGGTCAGACGTTTCACGGTATGAGCGAGTGAGAATTCCTTCTTCCCTCCCTCCAACTAAATTGAAGAGTTTGATGACAGCAACTTTGTTATCAAGTACTGATTAATACCATAAGCATTACTGTCTACTGCAAAATATGAACAGAATCATGTGCTGTCTTGGATTTGCAAAATTCGAGCTTGTCACGCTGATGCAGTTAGGCAATTGATTACATTCTTTCTCCTTTAAATTCGTTTCCTTTAAAAATGAGCTGATTCATTACAACTTGCAGAAATCTTTCATGCCTTACATAATTTCTTTCCTTTTCTTTATTTTCGTGCTTTACGTAAAGTTTTTCTTTGGCTTATTTAAAATCATCGGCAATCTAAAATTCGGTAAATTTGTAATAAGTTTGCTCTTTAAGCATAAGTATTTAATCATTATTTATATATGCCTAAAAGATAGTATTCTGTAATTTGTGAGCTTTATTTGTATACATAGGACCTCACATATGGCTTTACCCGTAATTCAAATTCTAAGAGTCCGAAACTTAAAGTTCTTTATGCGGAATTGTAGAATTCTGTATTTTCGTTCATTAGGTCGAAGCAAAGTAATAGTTATTTCATTGTCATTGTAGAAAGTGGCTGAACAAAAGAGAAGAGAAATTACATGTAAATATTAAATTCAAATTCTTAAATATATATGTTTCTTTAATTACAAGTCAATTAAATAATTTATGCAATAAAATTACATAATGCCAGCTGTTTGTGCGTACAAACATCAATGTCCTTTCAGACTTACGTACACGTTCTGTATCACAATTTGAATTTGAAGATACTTTGTTACTGAAATGAAGTGAAATATCTCTGTTCCCAATACATATATAAATACAGGATACTTTTGGTATTTTTGTTACAGTGTCATCATTAAAGTGCCATGTGTGCAGCACAGGAAATCCAGGTCAAGAGGACTGCGAAGCAATAGCAGAAGGCAATACTAAATACCTCATAGACTGCTTCCATCCTCTGAATAGTACTTGCAGGATTCAAGAACAATGGATAGATTTCGAAGTTTTAAATCGTAAGCATTAATATTTTTTTAAATTTTATTTAAAATATTTGCATATATACGTGCATTCTGATATGTAAACGCAACGCATTGATTTTATTTTAAATATATTTTCCCCGAGTGGTAACGAGAGAGTATTTTGGTTGGAAGCCGATTTAAAGAGTAATATTTATGAAGTGCGCATAGTAATTTTGTATTTTTTAGTTGTATCGTCTCAGTGATGTGTAAGTAATGCGCGAATAAAGATTTATTTGCATAAGTGAAGAATCATTCTTAAAGAAAATATGTAAGCTAACAGATATATGTAATATTTTGAATATTATATTTGAATTGGCAGTCGGGCACATGAGTGAAGCTTGACAATATGGTCACATCAGAATTCTGACCATTGTTGTGGCTGAGTGTAAGGCGGCATCCAGCGACGACACAGAAGGATTTAAATTTATAGCTCCATATCTTTGTTCAATTCAAAAGGCAGATCATTATTCTTTACTAAATAAGATTAACTTTAAATTCATAGCATTCGAAGAAAGGGAGGCAGATCAGAAGAGCATCAGCATGGGTCTCAACAGCAATAGAGGGAGAAAGCGGTCTCTGACGCAAAATGGTACGCTTCATTTATAGGAGCGGTTACGTAATATGCTCGAATGTTCTCGAAAATACTGGTCTAGGGGGGAGATCCTGAAATTGCGGAAAGTTAATTTGAGGTTGCTTATTCGCATAGAGCAAAGCCATCGTATTTTTTATATTTTACGTATATATATATATATATAATGTTAAAAGATAAACGTTTATTGATTAAAATGCTAAAAGGTAACAAAATTCCGCATAAGTTCATCAAAAAGCAGCTAGCTAAACTAAAATTGTCGATCTAAAAATTATTTTCATGATAGTTTTTAGTTGACAGGCTGCACTTATACCATTATGGCGGTATAGTCTGGATGTCCTTAATATAGCTGAATTAGGCTTCTTGGCAAAATTCTTACATTTGTTTTAATTTTGATTAGACTGTCTAATAATTATATAAGTATTTTATTAACAATATGGGCCTAATTCAGCTTTCAGCCTCCAAGTCTCAAAAATCCGTTCTGTATTTGTTATCTCAATCCGTAATTGAGTTCTGTATTTTGTAATAATTGATAACTTATTTCGTTTTCTGCCTTTTTTCTTTTTTAAATTACCTATAATTTGTAACGTTGCTAAATTCCTATCCTATCTTCGTCACAGTTTTAATACTCCGCTCTTTTTTTAATCATCACAATAATTTTTTAACTTCTTTGAAATTATTTTTTTAATTCTTCAAAATTTTTATAACTCTACTGAAAATTTTTCTGCACTAAGCACTGCAGCCCATTTTTATCCTGAAATTAAAAATTTATATAATTTTTATACTAAGAACTACACATTTTTTCATTTGTTGAACTGGAATGAACTAAAATACTTTTTGGCGGGTTTCTTGTGATATTTGTGGTTGCTTATCAGGTTTATAATTCAGTTAATTCGATGCTTTTTTCTTTTTACAAATTATGGGTTTTTAGTACACCATGTTTAACTTTACATTAGAAATTTTCTAATTATTTTTAATCAGTTTAAATTTTGTTATTAATCTAATTTCTTAACAACGGTACCTAGAGAAATCAAATTTTGAATGACGTGGTCCTTCACTCGAATTTGTTTTATTATATATTTCATATTTTGTAAAATTTTAACGAATTTTTGATTAAGAAACTCAATGATTTCAACTCAAGCAATAGCAATATTGTACTGAAAAAAAAATATTTTACCTCCAGCGCGCGAGACTGTGTAATTCTAAAGATGGGCTGTTTTTAAGTATTTTGTGATATTGCTAAATTGATTTAAATTTTATAGTTTAAGTGCAGAGAACATGATATTTAATAATATATAAAGGTGATATTTAATGAACAAAACGTTAAAAAACGCCCATTTAGGCGTAATTTGAAATCTGAAAGGCCTTCAGATTTTTTGTTTTGTTTTGTTTAAAATTTTAGTGTTACTTTTGAGACGATAGAGACAGAAATTTAAAATTTCTTTTTATATGATCTGTGGTTGATAGAAATGGCGATTTTACAAGAAGAAATAGAAAACTATATCTCGTAATTTTTCTGTTAAGCATTAGCAGAGGGACATCCTAGAAATCTTAAATTTATATCTTGAACTATTTATTTGTTTAATGGCATTTAAAAATCTGATAAATATTTTTAATATGTTGCTTGTTTAAGCATAAATTATCTTATTTTCCCTACAATAAACTGAAATGCATATTATGGTTTAAAATAACTGAGCCGTCGCTAAAAAGTCTTTATAATTTTCACATCTCTTGCTTGAAAATGTTTGAGAAAAATTGCGAAAACAACAGCAAATAAAAAGTATTTCAAAGCTGTAGGAAGCTAAGAATAAGTTTCTGATGTAACTTACTCTGTTTTGCTTTCCTTGTTAAAGTGTACTTGTGTTTGAAAAAAGGAATTTTTTTTTTTCTTTTTTCAGAAAAAACCGATAAAAGAACCATTCGTCAGTGTGCGTCGACAGAGTATGATGCAAGTAGACCTTGTTACTATAGGACAGGCTTTGGTGGAAGAATAAGCGTGTGCAACTGTGAAGCTGACGGCTGCAATGAAGCTGCCAGAACTGCCTCTACTCTACTTATGACAATAGGACTAGTTCTATTTGTTAAATATTTAGCTCACTAAAGAATTATACAGTATATTAGTGCATTTGATTTTCAACGTACTAATCATCTGGTGCGACTGTGAAATATTTGCCGGAACTGTAAATATCCCAGACTGAAAGATTTACAGTTTCATTCGCTTGTTGTGTTAATAGCTTGAGTTTCATTGCAATAACCGTTTCAACCGTAGATCCATTCAAAAATTAGGGATACTAGACATCATCTGGAAACTTAAATACGTTAAAAAATAAGAAGTTTTTTTTAGCTCCATCCTTTTATCACAGTATGCTATATAAACGAAATATTAATTGTTATATACTATTTTTCAAGTTTTAAAAACAATAAATCGGGATAATTATCTCTTTTATTTAAAACTTCGTATACATATATGTACATAAATAATTATATGAGTATGTTATTGCTAATTGTTATTCATTCGAAGTTTTTAATCTTTAGCGGCACTTATATTTCGGTACTTGCATCAAAACTATATCCTAGATCTGTCTTATAGGTCGAATTGGCGTACTGATCATGCCATAGGATTTTTTTTATTTTGAAATTATGTAAATGTGTAATAAATGTTTAAAACATTAGTTTAAAATATTTACTATTTAATTTTTATTCCAATAGGAAGGCTTAGAGATCTTTATAACAATATTTAATATAACATCTGGGACTTTTCCAGCACTGCTTTGCAACTAAATAAAAATTAAAAAAATGCCAAGAGTCTCTCTCTCTCGTGCTGCCTTTCTCCTCCCCTCTCCTCCCCCCTTTTTTTAAAGCAATAACCTTTTTTTCTTCTTTTTCTCCCTGCAGCGGCATTCCTAAAAGGTATGTTCAAGAACTACTCGTGTATGTGTGTTGTGCACAAAAACGAATCCTCGTAGAATAACTTAGATTGTAGTATAGTGCGTGGACTCAGTTGTGAGCAACCTGTATGTTGCCAATTAGCAACGAAATTTTACAAAAACCATTCAACGAACCTTAACATTTATTTTTCTTTTTTAAGATGCTAAAAACTCTGAACACCTCACAGTAAGAGATATCAGTGTTTGCATAAAAGCATACGACAAACAAAGTATCCTGATGTGATTGCAGACAACAGAAAATAAATATTCAAGAATAATTAAATTCATTTAGAATATCGTGTGAAACCCAATGGGTCGCGGAAGTTTCAAGTACCAGTTCATGTCTTGAAACTTCCATTGCTACACATTGAAAATATCGGTTGCTTATGTGGAATCTAGAATTTTGGAATTAGAAATATTATATTTTTGGTATGAGATTAATATTGAATATTTATAGGAAATGGATAGAAAAGGTGTGTGCTAATATAATACTAAAAAGCATTTATTTCGTGAGTTATAGTTAGCTAGTACGATGAGCTGTAAATAGATATCTAATATGAATTGCAGGAAACAAAGTGGTGGAATATTTTTGGAATTTTCACTTTATACGAAGTTTTACTGTTATACTCCATGTCATTTTTATATACTTTTGACCAATGAGTGTTTTGAGTAATTAATTTTATGGTCATGAAGCTTTTGTACAAAAGTTGCCTTCTCGGGTGAATTATTTTTGTATCTGAATCTCTTAGAACTGTCGTCGTCAGTATAATTTTAATCACCTAAAGAATTAAAATGCTAAACAATTTTTAAACAGCTAGTATTGTCTGTATCCTTTTATTATTTCTCTGAACTGGGGTCTTGAATAAAGTTTATTCCTGTATGGAATATTTAAACTGAAAGCAGGTTAACTAAAGTAATTTTCTTTCCGAGAAGATTTTCATAAAAAAATCTTTCGCTTAACTTCTGGAAACGCAATGCAGAAAGAAAGTTAATGATTTCAGTACTCATAAAAAGAGTCTGGAAATTATGTTGATAAAAAGTCTTTCACTCGTAACAAACTTATCTGATGTATAAGTAAAACTGTCTGTCTGATATGTTTTGAAACATTTATCAGCTTTTATCAAAAAAAAAAAAAAAAAAAACTTGAAGCATCTCGGTTAATGTTAGTTAGTAGTTGGCATGAATGTTGTTATGTCCTTTTTCTGTCATTATTAAATCATTTCTCTTGTAACGGAATTTTTTTCTTGTGAATTTCTTTGTATTAACTATAAACTTTACTTTTTACGAAGGTAATTTTCTTGAAGATTTACATAAGAGCGGATTTCATACAAATATATAATAATAATATTGCTTTGCTAATAATTATTCAGAAATTAAGTGTGATGTGTTTACTTACTTTAGAGCTCTCTGTTATTCATGAATGATTAAATACTGCGAAATTTCAGTACATATATTTATAAATAAAACAAACAAAACCCCTCCCAAAAAATCGGGAATCTTAAAGTTGAAACCTTCTTCATTTGGGTAATGTATTAAGACGAAGCACCTTGAATGTTATCTGCCATGATAGAGGACTTCTCGTTCATATTCATGCCATATGCAGACAAAACTCATGCACATGCATGTAAAAGGAAACAGACGTGCAGTAGCCGAAATCGAATCTGAACTGAAATGATTAATGCATAGTGTTATACAGTCAAAAGTCGTTAATCCGGACTCGCCGGGACTTCGGCGACTCCGGATTATCGATTTTTCCGGATTATAGATCATCAGTTTAAATCTCGTAAGATGGCATGCAGAAATTCTAAAATTAAAAATATGAAACCGTAATTTATGAAATAAAGAAACAATTATGATCTAAAGGGTATCAAAATTTACAAAAAAAAAAAAGCTTAATATTTATTTGTTTACTTTATTAAACATTTCTTTCAATGTAAGTTGTTTAGTTGCTTCGTTTCATGTGATAATACTTTCTCTTTAATTCTATTAAACAGACATAATTTCTTGTTCAGTTACAAAGTTCCGCTGTTCAAGTCCTATAATTGCTGTGTCGAGAATACCGACTAATTTGTCAATCGAAATTTTTTCGTTTTCAATAACCTCTGTTCACTTTCTTGACTATCGGAAGCGAATTATAATGACGAACTTGTTTTAAATCATATCAAAGACGGAGTGCATCAAGATGAAATACTACATTTAGTTAAAGCAATTATAAGCCAAATAAAATAAAAACATCTGCCTTGAAGATAAGGATAGTGATGAGAGATCAACTTCCAAATCATTGTGCGCCGAGGCATTCCCCCCGCCGAACTGCGTGAAATTGATAAACAGATTTCGGATTTCGAAACATACATTCGCTTTAGATCCTTTACATATTAGCAAATATATATCGGAAATTCTATTTGACATAATCGAAGTTCAAGCTTACTTTTATAAAATTGCTCTAACAGTCTGCAAAAAAAAATAAGCGGATCCAATTCGAAATTGGAACAACGCATCATCAACATTAACTGAAATAGAATTAGATAAATTTTAGCTTAACGTCCATTATACATAAACGCGCACGCGAAACGTATTTGCACTTGCGCACACTCATATGCGCAGTCGTAAAGGTCTTACGGCGCACGCGCAACGCCTATGCGCATGTCCCGCGGCGCATGAAGAAAGTTTTAGTTTGAGGTCCGGATTATAGATCATTTCGAATTATGGGTGTCCGAATTAACGACTTTTGACTGTACATAAAATATTTCTTTGGGAGACTGAAAGTCATATCTCAAAATTACTTTAAAACATATCGATTTGTTTAACATAATTGAGTGAAACAAAGTAAGCTTTAAGGTAAGGATATTTGCTAGTCAATATAATATCAACTACATTTTACCTGTTCTATGTAACTTAGCTTTTGTTTGTTTTATATAACTCTGCGTAATGTTTTCTTTTCACGTAATAAGTGTTTTTAACGTATGCTTCCTAATACTAGCACTTGGTATTGCTTAATAAAGAACGACTCTTTTACGCAGACACTTTTCTGAACCCAGAGTATTTTCATGAACATTTTATAAATAACATCTTAAACAGCATGCTGAACTGCTGTAAAGGACCTTTTTTTAATGTAATAAAGCACCATTCGAAAAAGATTTATGAATGAGGAATACGTCAAATAGAGATTTTAGTTTTGGGATAAGATCCACATACTTCAGCTGCAGAATTTTAAAACTCTATTACTGCTATTACAAAATTGAATATTATCAAATTTTATCAACCTTCTTTTACTTTGTTTAAAATATTACGCATAGCTTAGAAAATAATTAAAATTCTACATTTTTAAATCACAGGAATTCAAGCTGCAAAGTATTTGATAAGAAAAAAATATTTGAATAGCTTAAAGCATAAAAGGCATATCTACCCTAAGGAACGGATGCTTTCGTGAAGGACTTTCTAAAGCAAACTGACTTGTATTCACGTTTATACTCGGAGAAAGCTACAAAGACCAACCATTCCTTTCCGGAACTGCATTATATTGAACGCCTTTAAAGCCTGGGCTTCTTGCAGGCATTAGCTGAAAAAGAGACCATCGGCAAAAATGTCTTTCAAATAATAGTTATTCATATCTTTGAGTAATTCTTCAAAAAGCTTGCAACAGATTCAGCTGATACATCCTTGTATTTTGTACTTATGGTATAAGATTTCGCAGCAGAGCTTTAAATTATTCAGCTCTCTAATTAAAAGAACAGTTATCGCTCACATTCAGTTTCAATGCTAGTTTTTTGCCTTTTTCATGAACATGACTCGCTGAAGTACTTGATGCAACACGAGTGAAAAACTTAAGCAAAATATGTCATGAGCTCAAGAAAATTTTCGCCTTGGGCATGAGATTACTGTAGAGCAGATTTTGCACTAACTCATGTTTTTGATGTTCTATAATTTTTTTCCACAATCATTTGTTTTCAAATTTGACAGATTAGTAACCCGTTTTTTGATATCTCTGAGTTTATCAAATCTTGTATTTTTGTTAAATTCTTTAAGTTTATATATTTTTAAAGAATTTTCTTTTGCTTTCTATATTTAGCTGGAATAAAGCCTCTTCCATTAAGCAAAATGTAGAGATTATTAGCTTTGAAGCGTATAGGGCTCTAGGTGTGTAGAAACTGAATCAAACTCCTTTCGACCCTATTAGACTGACAAACTTAT